GAATATCTCAATGCTACATAATATGGGATTTTTTAATGTAGGTGATTTTGGATAACACCAAATCCAACAAATAGAGCGGCGAAAAGTGAGAGGGTTGTCTTTTGTGGTCCATATGGTTCTTGTCCATTCTATCCAATCATTTGTCATGTATTCTCTTGGGCAATGACCCTTTTTCTTTAGTTGACTGTTTCCTCTCATTTCTTCTTTCATCTTTTGATACTTTTCCTGTGGAATTCCAAAAGGCTAAAAAGGAGGAGATCACACACAAATAAAACATTGATTTGAACCTCTCCCTCTCCCTCTCAATGAAAAATCTATTGATTTGAACGATTTGATCTCTCTCTCTCATGATTTGTAGTTTGATAGCTACATATTTCTCTATCTTCCTTGGTTAGCAAGTACGTTGTCATTGTCCCTTTTTGACATTGCAAGATGAGTGTTTAATAACCCTGCGAATTTCAAGCTGGATTGGAATCGATTGGGACTGAATCTGTTCCAAGATTGTATGAGTCTTAGCCTAATTCCCCTTAAAACCCCACTTTTATGTTTTTTTTTTCCCTTTTTTTTAAACCTTATCTAACATTTTTTAGGTCCCATTTGGATTGCAGATTTGGACCAAACAAATTTTTGTTTGTTTGGACAGGGAGCTACTCTAACTTGAAGTTTCTTTGTTTAGGGGTTATTCTTATAAAATAGTGTTTTATAGTAAACTCTTGATTTTTATTTTTTAATTTTTTCCTATTTTTTAAGAAAAAATTATCAAAATATCAAATGAGATGAACTATTTAACATTGTACCATATTGTAGACACCCATTATCCCGAATTGAATTTTATCTTTGAATTCTAACACCCTGGAGCACACTATCCTAGCACACCATAGGATACACTAAAACCACAGTCATGCCCAAACCATAGTCTAGGGAGAATATCCCTTAGATATTCTATATTCCCTAAATATCCAATTTTAGAAAATTTAATAATCCCATAAATCCCAAATTTAAAAAACCAAAATATTCCATAAAAATTCCCTAAAATACCCTATATTCTAAATACCTCATTTGTAGAAGCTAAATATTCTCAACACTCAAAGATAGGCAGGTCAATAGTTCAAAATCTCCCAATAAGGAAATCAGATGTTCAGATTAGGCAGTTTCTATAACCTAAAAGGGAGAATTTGCACATAGCTATATGCTAGAAGTGTCCAATTTCGATTAGAGTCAGATCACAACCATTGGATTTAGTTCGACATTCTAATCAATCCTATAAAGGTTCCGAACTGAGATCTCACAATGCAACGATATATGGCATAGAGGGTTGAAGGCCTGCACTGGGAAATGTAGTGTGGGATATATGGACCTCTGTATTTGTCTGTACCACCGCCTTCATATTTTATGGTGTTTGTTGTCAATATAAAGTTATTTTCTGCCTTTTCAATTGATTTAGACCCAAACATAACCCTAATTTCGGTTATAGAAACTATGCAGCCCCTAAACCCTACCTTTAGGCAACTCAAACCCTAGTTTTAGGAGCCCGCTCCAGCCATTTCTAGAGATTAAAAATAACTCATTTCAGTAATCAAAGGCCCTAATTGTAGAATCCCTAGTCATCCCTCTCTTCCCTAGAGTGCAATCAATCGATCACGATCTTCAATCTTTAAGATCAAAGAGTAGGGACTTCATCTGCACCATTTGATCTGGGCCCAACACCAAGCACCAGGCCTAGCGTCCGGCTTCCAGCTTCTTTCTTTACATTTCTTTTATTTTATTTTATCATTTGATTTGTTCTACTGCTTTCGTTTAGTATTTTGTTCTATTTTTTTTAGTAAATATGTTCGTCTTATTTTTCTTCTTTTTTTCTCTTTATTTTCATTATTATTCATCTTCATTTCCTTCGATTAATTATTTCTCTAGTAGTGTATTTCTAAATATTCCTCTTAGTTGTGCTTTATTTCTTGTGTTTATTTTGAATTTTTGCTCTATCTAAGCTGACTCGGCCATAGATATGTAAAGAATACGGTCTTTTATGGCTAATTTTTTTGTAGATCTTAATTTGATGGGACCCACCTCTCTCGACTTGTAATTGTACGTATGATCTTAGATATATGGGACTTCCACTAGACTGGGAGGTCTTATATTCACATGTACACAGATTGTTTGATTTAATTTCATAATACACATAAAAAGACTCATGGTCATGAGTTGGAATAGTATTAAAAGTGTAAAATGCTAAATAATGCATCTCTCATGGGTATTTTTATCAAATTCCCATCTTTTAATTATATTTTGAGCAGCTGAATGCCTAAACTCCTTTCATTGAGTTTATCAAGTGGAGTAAATCGTTGTTGCAAATCACAAGGCTATATGTGGAGTCACAAACTCAAAACATAGCTCCAGTTTATTGGTCTGTAATTGAATAATCTTCTTGTTGATTCATAATTGTATAGGAGGGTTTGTGAGAGAGAATTTCTTGCTTTTGATTAGATTTGAATTTTGTACATTTGTAACTCACAAGCTCTATCTTTAAATTATGTTTACTCTGAGAAGCCTTATCTTTGTCTTCTATCTTTACAAGGTTTTTTTAGCCCCCTCTTTGTCTTCAGGGCATCACTTGTTTTTTTACTTGTTATATAAAGGAATTAGATTGCCAGCTCTTGAGAGCTTGTAAGATACATGAATAACATAGAGATTATGGACAAGTAGACTATCCCTAGCGATGGATGATCGCCCTTTACCAAGGATTCTTCTCATATCTATATGACTTTATCCATATGAGTCCCTATATCAAGGAACTAACTACTATTTCAAAACCCACCATTCCTCGATCAGGATGGTTGATCCGGGCCGAGAATCGGCTAGGACCAATTTAGTTCCAAAAAAATATCAATGGTCAAGGCGGGGGGTCGCCATAATATGATGTCTTGAGTTTCATTCCTACTACTGGTACGGGACCCATCCCCACTATTAGAGTCGTCCATTCATTAATTTATATGTGTGTATGTGATGTACAAAAGGATCCTCTCATTCTGTTTTTCTCTCTTCCTCTCACTGTCCCCTCCCTCTCTCATGTCATTTGAAACTTTTGTGTTTTTTTTGATAAATCTTCTTCATTGTGATAATAATATTGGAGAATAATATGTAATATAGTTATTTTAGTTGAAAGTGTGATTTCCACAAGAAAAATGGTTTGGGGGGATATTGGGTTCCGATATGAATGATCACTTTGAAGAAATGCCATGGATGGGTTGAACCAAAAATCCTATATTAAGAATATAAACTTCAACCTTTGTCGCTTAATTACATATGGTACGATTAAAACATGTAGTTTAGCTTTCTTAAAATGAGGGAGATTATAAGTACCAAAACTCTAGACAGGTTATCAAACAAGGTAAATGTCCAACATTATGTTTTCAAACATTGCCACCACTTTTCGGATTTCTAAGATACCCAATTAAGCATGAGAAAACTTCATTTCCGGTTATCAAACATGCCCTAGACTATTAGACATTCTATTAAAGTATTCGATATGGTAGCAGACCCACTTGCAAAAGGAAGAAGAGGAGAAATGATTAGTATGTATCAATTTTTGTCTTGCTTATAAAGTTTTGTATATGGACTCAATGTTGTAAAATTCATGGGCAAAATCATACTTGTAAATCAATTTTGTTTAAACAAGAAGGGTGTGATTTGTTGTATAATGATGTGGCCTTAATCAATCAAAGTAATGCGCACCTTGAAATAGTGTCAAAAGATGTCATTTTAGTATTGTAAATCTTTGTGTGCCTAAAAATTTATTTTTATCCCTAACTATAAAATTTAAAGCTTCAAAAATATTGCAGATAAAGCAGATTTATGAACACTTGATAGTCTGGAAAAGTGACAGTCCAAAAAATGCTTCACAAGATGCACTATTTTCAAGACATGAAATCTATTTTTTACATATCCATACATATTGAGGTCGAGATAACCGATCCAAAGATTTTTAGCATCGAAACAACCTCTTATGGTGAATTTTTGAGGTGTACTTGAAGTTGATTGTTTAGGGCTTTGTCCTTATGTAAACTTTTTCCATAAAAGAATAATGTTAATGAGCAAAAAAACATTGGTGAAAAAGACATGTTAGATAGGTATCTCTCATTGTCTCGTTGAACAATAGTTCCCATGGGTCCCGAGACTGAGTCACCCAGCTAGACTCCAATGATTGAGTCTATTCTGTTTATTAAGGGAAAAAGAAAATTTCATATTTCCTTTATTTAATCCAATTACAAATTCTTATTAAGAATTTAGCACCCGTTTATTGATACCATCTTTTCATTATTCTGGTTCCTAATGTTCTCTCTCTTTCTCTCTCCTTTTATATATATATATATATATATATATATATATATATTTATTCTGGTTCCTAATGCTCTCTCTCTTTTCTCTCCTCTATATATATATATATATATATATATATAGAGTACTCTTACGTTGGTCGCACTTCTTTTTCTTTTACTTTTAACTATTAACGACTAAACTTACTATAGACAAGAAGTAATAACAAGGATAG